CACACAAAAATCAGTTGCATTTCTATACACTAACAATGAACAATCCAAAGAGAAAATTGAGGAAAATTCTCATTTAAATAGCATCAAAAAGAATAAAATAGGAATAAACTTAACCCAGCAGGCTAAAACTTGTACACTGAAAACTACAAAATATTGCTGAAAGAAATTTAAAAAGACAAATAACTGGAAAGACAGCCTATGTTTATGAATTGGAAGACTCAATATTGTTACGATGTTAATAACTACCCCAAACGATCTACGGATTCAATGAAATCTTGGTCATAATCGCAATGAGAGATTTTTGCAGAAATAGAAAAATACATCCTAAAATTCATATGGAACCTTAAGGGACTTCAAATAGTCAAAACAATCCTGAAAAGAACAAATTTGAAAGTCTCACATTTCCTGATTTCAAAACTTGCTACCAAGTTCTGGTAACCAAAATTGTGTGGTATTGGCATAAAGACAGGCATATAAACCAATGGAAGAAATATAGAGCCTGGAAATAAGCCTTCAGGTATATGGGCAAATGATTTTCAACAAGGGTGCCAAGACCATTAAATGGGGAAAGGACAGTCTTTTCAACAAATGGTGTTGGAAAAACTGGATGTCCACATGCAAAACAATAAAGTTGGACCATTGCCTTATACCATATACAAAAATAACAAAAGGGATCAAAGACCTAAATGTAGTGACTAAAACTATAAAACTCTCAGAAGGAAACACAGGGGCAAAATTGGATTTGACAATGATTTCTTGGATTGACGTCATAAGCACAGGCAACAAAGGAGAAAATAGATTAAGTTGCACTTCATCAAAATTAAAAATTTTCGTGTGGCAAGGAACATTATAAACAGAGCGAAATGCAACCCACAGAATGGGAGAAAGTATTTGCAAATCATATAGCTAATAAAAGATTGATATCCAGAATATATAAAGAATTACAACTCAGTAGCAAAACACAACTCTATTAACAAATGCTCAAAGGACTTGAATAGCCATTTCTCCAAGGAAGATATACAAATGGCCAATAAGCACAGGAAAAGATGCTCCACATCACTAGTCATTAGGGAAATTCAAATTATATGCAAGATACCATTTCACACCTACTAGGATGGCTGTTATAAAAAAGAAAGGAAAAACAACAGTAGCAACAACCATAAAGTTACAAGTGTTGCAAGGATGTGCAGCAATCAGACTGTTCATTCCAGTCTCTCCTCCTTTGGATAATTTCTGAAGAGAAGCCCCGTGTAATTCTTATTCTTGCTGCTCTACTGGTAGGACAATTTTTCCTCTGGCTTCTATCAGGATTTTTTCTTTGTCTGATTTTCTGCAGTTTGAATATGATGTGCCTAGGTGTAGTTCTTTTGGCGTTTTCCTATCTGGTGTTCTCTGAATTTCCTGAAAATGTGGTTTGGGGATTATTATTATTGCTTTAAATATTTCTTCTGTTCTTCTTCTCCTTCTGGTACATGGGAACATGCATAATTTCCATTACATATATGCTACACCTTTTGTAGTTGTCCCACCATTCTTGAATATACTGTTTCAAATTTTTTGTCCTTTTTCTCTTTGCTTTTTCAGTTTGAGACGTTTCTATTGACATATCCTCAGACTCACTGACTCTTTGCTGTGTGCAGTCTACCAATGAACCCATAAAGGCATTCACTTCTGTGACAGTGCTTTTGATTTTGAGCATTTCTTTTTTATACTTTCTTAGAATTCCCATCTCTCTGTTTACATTACCCATCTGTTCTTGCATGTTGTCTAGTTTTTCCACTAGAGCCCTTAGCATATTAATCATAGATTTTTTTTTTTTGGCCTCGCCACGTGGCTTGCAGGGACATTCGTTCCCCAGCCAGGGATCCAACCCATGCCCCCCTGCAGTGGAAGCGCAGAGTCCTGACCACTGGACCGCCAGGGAAGTCCCAATCATAGTTATTTTAAATCCCCAATCTGATAATTTCAACATCCCTGTCATATCTGAATTTGGTTCTGATGCTTGCTCGTTCTTTTCAAACTGTGTTTTTGCCCTTTAGTATAATATAACAAGACTGCCCCCCACGAGACACAGACACTTCAGACAGCAGTTGCAAGTCCAGGTTATCACCTGTGCTTCTGACCAACAAATTACAGATCAGAGTTTCCAACAACCCTCTCCTTGGGTTTGATTAAATTGCTAGAGCGTTCACAGAACTCAGGGAGACTCTTACTTACGTTTACCAGGTTATTAAAGCATATGATAAAGGATGCATATGAATAGCCAGATGAAGAGATACATAGGTGAGGTCTGGGAGGGTCCCCAGCGCAGGAACTTTTGTCCCCATGAAGCTGGAGTGCATCCCCCTCCTGGTGTGGATGTGCTCACCCACATGAACACTGTGCTTTGGGGATTTTATGGAGGCTTCCTCATGTAGGCATGAACAATTAATAACTCTATTTTCAGCCCTTTTCCCTTCTCTAGAGGATGGAGGGTGGGGCTGAAAATTCCAAGCTTCTAATTGTGGTTTAGTCTTTCTGGTGACCAGCCCCCATCCCGATGCCCACCCAGAGTCACCTCAATAGAACAAAAGATGCCCCTAGTGCTCTTATCACTTAGGAATTTACAAGGGCTTGAGGGACTCTGTGCCAGGAACCAGAGGCAGAGACCAATATATATTTTCTATTATCTCACATCCTGTGGCCTAATTCTCTGATGGATCTAAGAAGAGTTGTTGATTTTCAGTTTGTTCATCTCTTTGCTTGTTGTTAGAATGTGACTGATAACTTCTAAACCCCTTCCATGACAAACTGGAAACCAGCATTCCCATTCTTTTACTTTGAATTTATCTGTGTCTTTGTGTTTAAAGTGGATTTCTTATAGTCACCATATAGTTGAGTCTTGCTTTTGTATCCAATCTGACAATCTCTGCCTTTTAAATGGAGTATTTAGACCATGCTTATGTGATCATTGACATGGTTGGGTTTTAATCTAACATCTTACTCTTTGTTTTCTATTTGTCCCATCTGTTTTTTGTTTCTTTTTTCCTCTTCTCCTGTCTTGTATAAATTGGATTAATTGATTTTTTTATGATACAGTACTATCTACGTTAATAGTCTATTAATTCATTTTTTAAAAATTGGTTGCTCCAGGGTTTACAATATTTATCTTTAATTGATCAAAGTCTACCATTAGATAATGTAATACCACTTCACATATGGAACAAGAACCTTACAAGTATATTTTCATTTCCCTCCTCATGGTCTTTGTGCTGTTTTATCGTAACATTTCACTTCTACATATGTTATAAATTCCATAATATATTGTTTTTATTTCTTTTTTTTTTTTTTGGCTTGAAACAATTATCTTTCAAAGAGGTTTTTAAAAATCGAGAAAAAAAAAAGTCTTTTCTATTTCCCCGTGTGTTACCATTTCTTTCTGTGGATCCAAATTTCCATTTGGTTTCACTTTCCTTTGTGATAGGACTTCCTTCAGCATTTTTCATAGTGCTAGTCTACTGATAATGACCTCACTAAGCTTCTGCATGTCTGAAAAGTTTTTTATTTTACCTTCATTTTAAAAGATATTCTGGCTGGGTACAGAATTCTAGGTTCAGAGTTTTAAAATTTTTTCTTCCAGTGTTTTTAAAAATGTTATTCTGGATTGCATGGTTTCAAGCACAAAGTCTACTGTAATTCTTATCTTTGTTCCTCTGTATGTAATGTGTCCATTTTCCTCTGGTTGATTTTTAGATTTTCAGAAATTTGATTATCTTGTACCTTTATGTGGTTTTCTTATGTTTTGTCTGATTAGAGATGGTTGAGATTTTTGAATCAGTGGGTTTATAGTTTCCATTAACTTTGGGAAATTTTCAGCCATTGTAGGTTCAGATGTATATTCTGATCCCTCCGTTTCTTCTGGAAGTTCAATTACTTTTGTGACAGGCCACTCAATACTGTCTCACAGTTGTTGCTTCTCTATTTTCTGTCTTTTTTCTCTCTGCTTTTCATTGTGAATATTTGTCTCGTGTTCACTAACATTTTCTTCTGTAATGCCTAGTCTGATGTTAATCTTAGCTAGCGTATTTTACATTCCAAATATTGTACGTTTCAACTTTAAAATTTTGATTTTGGTCTTTTTAAGATCTTTTCATCCTTTCCCCATCATGTTCTTGTTCTTCTCTACCTTCTTGAACATATGGAGCGTATTTAAAGCAGCTCTTTTAACATGCTTATCTGCTAGTTCCATTATCATGTCTGGTTCTATTTCTATTGACCGTTTTTTTCATCCTGGTTATGGATTGTATTTTTCTGTGATTTTTTCCCCCCAAAAGCCAATACTCTTCTGAGGACACTACCTGATGCACCATGTATTAGGACATTTTTCCACCCTGGCTGGTAGTAACAGAAACTCCTCCTTTGAAAGAAACTCTTTCAAAAGCTTTTTTTCCAGTGTTTTTTTCCACAGTCTTGGTATTTTTTTTTCACACGTGTGCATATGAGTACTCGGCCAAAGATTCAAGGAGACCCTTCTGCAAATATCTGAGGCTCTCCCTCTCTGCAGGCCCCTCTTCTTTGCTTTGTCCTCCCTGAATTCAGAACACTGTCTCCTCAACACAGCAAGACCACTAGTCTCTGTTTCAGTTTCTCTTCCCTGTGCTGTGACCTGGAAACTTTGTCCAGACAGGGAGCAGGGGAACTTATTGGGTTCACCTTGTTTGTTTCTCGTTTCCAGGATTATTGTTCTACATTGTGTACAATGTCTGAAAACTTTTGTTTCATATATTTTATCTAGTTTTTTGTTGGTTCAAGGTAGGAAGAGAAACCAGATCCCTGTTTCTCCATCATGGGCAGAAGTGGAAGTTTCTATAATTGAAAAGGTGACTTTCTTAAGTGCTATTGTTTGTTTGGATCCAGGCTCATTTCATTCAAGCCCTACATCTTGTGGAGAATGAAGCGATGAATGGGTGTCCTTGAGAGAGCCTTGGAATGAGTACTGTTTTGCCACTCGCTAGCCGTCATTTCATTTCTGTGCGCCTTAGTTCCTCATCTACAAAACTAGGGTAAGAATGAAATTACTATTACCCTATTTCTACTGTTTTCTTTGGGGGAGCTTTGAAAAACCTTTTGAAGAAAGGGCATTGTGTAATGTATGTGGGAGGAAGGCATGAAGAAGAAGGTGACACACTTCTTTGCCTTGACATTGGCCTTGGGGAGGGAAGGAGTATTGTTATGAGTTACTTAGCTTCTTATCAGTTTTAAACCTCTGATCTTCTCACCACCACCATCTCACACATACACACACATCATGGTAGTTTGAAGACATGGCCACAATTCTTTGATACTCCCCACACTGAGAATTGGGGATCTATGTTCTTTCCCCTTAAATCTGGCCAGGCTTCTGACTGCTTTGACCAATAGAGTACTGGTGACGACAGAGTAGAGGTGATGCCATGTGATCTCTGAGCCTAAGTCATAAAATACCATGAAGCTTTTGCTTTGTTTGTGGAACACTCATTCTTGGAGCTGAGCTGACAGGTAAGAAATAAACCTCCTCTAAGGCCACCATGCTAAGAGGAAGACAAAATAATATGGAAAAGCCATGGATAGACACTCCAGCTAATAGTCCCAGCTTAGTCCCGCCTTTGAGTCATCCCAGCCTTGGTGTCAGACATATGTGTGAAGAAGCTTCCAGATAGCTCCAGCTTCTGGCCATTCAAGTTACTCTGAGCCATTCATGTCTTTCCAGCTGACACCTGAGACATCATGAAGCAGACACCTTGCTGTACACTGTCAAATTCCTGCCCACAGAGTCACTGAACATGGTAACAGTGGTTGCTTGCACTGCTGCGTTTGGGGTGGTCTGTCACACAGCCATAGGTAACTAGAGCACATCTCTTCCCTGATCCCTGTCAGATACCAGCAGAAATGCAGGGTGAATGGTTCAAGGACCAATTTAAACAGGTAGTCTAAGTGATGTTGAATGAGGGGCGTGTTTCCCAGTGAAGGCTTCATAAAGGGATATCTAACACTGCTGAGACATCCCAACTTCCTGAATATAAATCCAGGAGCTCTTGAATGGGGTCCCCCCATGAGCTGCTGTGGGCAACTCCCTTTGACACTCGTGGGGAGCGAGGCTATTGAAGTCAGCCCTCGTGTTGCTCTACTAGCCAGCCCACTGTGCACTGTTCCCTTCTGTCCTCCCTCACTCCCTTCTCTTTTCCCTCCATCTTTCCTCTTTTATTGAGTGCCCATTACATGCCACACATTATTTTAGGTTCCGGGGTGTCAAAGCTGAGTGTATATTAACCACGTCTCTTATTGTCTGTGTGCTGATGCTTTGACACCTGGGGCCCTGCTGACTCTGGAGGGGCCGCCCCTCCCAGGGCCAGCTACTTCCCAGAGCAGTAAACACCTTGTTGGCTAGTGCACTTCTCAGGTATAAACCCCCACCCTAAACACCTCCTTTAAGGAGCGCTTGCACTCTGGGCCACTATCCTCCAGCCCTAATCACCCCAAGGCCAGTTACCAGACAACCAGGGACAGCCCCTATACCCCAGAGACCACCCACATTATTCAGCCTAGCCAGTCCTAAGCCTGATTTGCCTCCCTCCCTCGTTCCTTCCTGAGGAACCCGTAATAAAATCTCTTGCCCAGTCTCCCCGCCCCCAGTGCTTCCCCACGTGGCCCCCATAGTGTCGTGTGCCCTGCTTGGCAGCTGAGTAACTAGCCTTTCAATGGCAATTGACTCCTTGTCTATTGGCCTTACCATGCCTCAAATTTTCTCTTCATATACTAAATTTTAAGATACAATGACACCCAGTCCCTGCCCTAAAGGAACTTAAAAGTTAGTGGTAGTGGGAGCCTTAGCCCAGTAGGGCTGGCAGCATTCTGTTTCGTGCTGTGCGCACTGCTTAACGCAAGTGTGGTCACCTGTGAAATCTCCGCCATCACGCACGTCTGCGCACTTCTCTGTGGGCACACTGTACTTCAATGAACATCTGATTAAAAAAACAAAACGTAAGATAATGGTAGCTTGAAATCTGCCCATTAAAGCAGTCTCATAAGCCAAACAAGTATCCTTGGTTTCTCACAGCAGAATTGTTGGCTGATGACAGAGTGATCTGTGATGAGATCGCTATCAGTCCTGCCTCATGTCACTCATTATCCTGACGTGTGTGCACCTCGGCTCAGAAAAGACTTACTTTCCATTTTGTATTATTTACAGGCGGTTTCCAGTCAATTTCTCTTCTTCCTCTTAGGCATCTGGAAAGAAGAGGCAATAGGATTAAAGAGATCGAGCATACGTCCTTAAACCAACTCTTAGTTTTTCTTGTCATCTGTTGGTTTTTCCATTTAAATTTGTCAGAATTTAACTTCTGACCAATTAAGTAAAGATCGTTTCAGTGCAGTAATCCTGCACACGTGCTCCCTTACAGAAGGAAATCTGATCATTTTTCAGAGTGGAGCGGGAGAAAATTAATGTAGCAAAGGTTTGTTCTTGGCTTGGAACTCTCCTGGCCCTCAGGGCTAGGAGGAAGCAAACACAAATCCCAGGATGAACAGAGCTTACGTCGGTGCTGTCCTCGGTGTACACACAGCAGAGGCAAGCCCGTCATTGGTTCACTGGGCCTCCGAGGCTCTCTACCCTGTGCACTGGCTAAGAGACTTGCTCAGATGTGCTCAGCCAGTAGTGGCAGATGGGACTGGACTTATGTCTTCTGGCTCTAAGTCAGGATCCATCCACCATTCGCTGGGAGACATGACTGATCAGAGACGAGCACACACATGTAGAGGGGGCATTCTATGGTAACCAGAAAGTCTGATCTGGGGAACTTGGGTTTCTCTACCCCAGTGTTTTGTTACTATAAAGTCCCTCTTACAAAAGAGTTTTGATGTTGCCAGGGGGTCTACACTACCCATGCTCAGAAGCAATGTCATCTGAAAATCCTATTCCTTTGTCCCTAGTCCCCTGTAGAAGAGCTGTTAAACCTAGGACACTGTGACACTCTGTCCAGGTGTCCTTGTGTCCACTCAGGTAAGCCCTCAGATATATCTTAAATCTCCCCCGAATTATTCTGAATCTGAGACCTTGACGAATTTCTCCTAAATGACTATGAAGAGATTTCTGTTGCTTGAAAGAGAGGAACTCCGCTTCTTGGAGGGAAGCCAGGCCCGGGGCCGGGTGGGGTGCATGGAGGGGAGAGGAGAGGGCAGTCAGCAGGCCTGGATGAGGTCTCCTGGCTCTCCAGCATGCACCTTACCCGTGGCCAACAGGGTTTACCCATTTGCTTTTCACCTTACCTTGAACTTCCAGTGCCCTTTGGATGAGGAAAGGTCCAGTGGGACTTGAGCGATGGGTCTGGAAGGGCACACAAGCAGGGGGAGATGCAGCAGGTTAGAAGCCCTCCTCTCTGGCGTGGGGCTCTGCTTTGAGCTGGAAGCTGACCCGGGGTAGCCCCGGAACTGGGGAAGCAGAGACCTGAGGACGAGAGATGCGTATTCAGGTCTCTGCCGTGCCACCTGCCTCATCTGGGAACTGGCTTACTACTACAGCCTGGGCCGCCCAATCCACAGAGGGTTGTACAGAGGCAAGGATGAGCTGGGAATGGCCTGTGCAAAGACTGTCAGTCGAGTACAGATAAATCAGTGTGAGCAAAGGTGATCGCGGTGATGGTGATTTCAGCCACCAGCCAGATGTGAGGGACAAAAAGCACCAGCAGACCATGTGCACAAAAACGTTGCAGAGAGGAGGGCTGGGAGCCACGGCACCTCCAGCCTGGCACAGCTGCCAGCACTTGGTCTTGCGCAGGGCTCCAGTGCCAGGGGCCAGGGCTGGAATCGGTTCGAGGCAGGAATGTGTGCCCTACTCCCTTCTTTCTCCTTCCCCTAGAATCACCTAAACTCTTCAGTTTGGAATAGAATAAGGAAAGCTCCTCACGGGGAAAGTTTTGTGGGCTCGACCCTATTAATTTTATATTTAGAATTCCATCCATTCGTTACTTTACTATATTTCACAGTTATTTAAGTGTACAAGGTTCTTTCACAAACACCACATCAGTAATCCTGTATTATCCCCATTTTACTGGTGAAGAAACCGAGGCTGAGATCAGCTGAATGAATGATCATCACACTGCTAGAAACTTGAGGCAACTGGTTTCTGACTTCAAGTCCTGTGTTCCTGTAAACCCTCTTCAGTGAACTACAGACCTAAATGAAGGTGGGAGGGAGGGGAGAGATGGGGGAAGGGAGGAGAGAGGGGGGAGATTAGAAAGGGAAGGGGGGAGGGAGGGAAGGAGGGGAGCAGAGAAGTACAGAAGGAGGAAAGGGAAAAAGCAAAGGAAAGAAAAAAGTCATTCGAGAAAGAGAGCAGCGTTCACACAATACACACCGCAAGAGTAAGATTCAGTCTGTGGGCAGGCAGGCCCACTGTGCCCACGAATCGTCACACGCGGACCCGCCGCTCTACCCCCATCCCATCCCGCTGCGGGTCCAAGCACCGCAGCCCCATACGTTTCGACCCTTCTCGGCACGGTTGCTCTCTAATTCATGGCGCAGAGTCTCCATTGATGAGCCTCGGCCAGCAACTGGCCGCGGTCCAGGGCCCAGCGCTGGCCAGGCAGGTGTTGGGGATGCCTCGGAGGACGCCAGCACTGACCCTCTCGCTCAGGCCTCCGAGCCCCGGGCTTTGGGGACACTTGAGGTCTATGCGGAGCTCGGCGGACTGAAGGTCGCAGTGACCCAGCATCCCTGAGCGCCGCCCGCACCAGGGCTCGCTTGCATAAAGTTGCCCAGGTGAATCAGTGCAAGTGAGTGAAGAAATAAAGGAATGGAGCGAGAGAGAGAGCCCGGTTCCCTTGTGCACACAGCTCACATGCTCGGGGCGAAGCCCGTGCTGGCGATGTGGAGTTTAACACCCAGGTGCTGCACAACCCAGGCTCACGCGCGCTCTCCGGACGAAATGCAAGACATTATTATTGGAGACAACAATCACAACATGTATTCTCTTTGTCCCCGCCCCCGCTGTTTTCTCCATCTTTGCTGTCGGACTCTGGAATCCAACTGGACCGCTCTGCGCTCCCCGGCGCCCGCGCAGCTTCCTAACCTGGCGCCTGGGGGCGGCCCCACAGCGCGCACGCTCTGTTCCGGAACCGCTCACGGAGGGCGCCAGGGGCTGCGAGCCGGGAAGGGGACGCCCACGGCCGGCAAGGGGGCGCTGTCCCCAGAGGCCTCTGACCCTGCGGAGCATCGTCCCGCCCTGGAGCGACGGTGAGGTTAGAGAGGGTAGCAGTCGGTTCCTTCCAGGGGCCCCGTGCTGCCGCGCAAATACCCCTGCGGGGATCCCTTCTCTCCCCCAACAACGAGCTGCACCCCCGGCCGGGCGCGGCCCTAGTTCCCCGCGGTTCCCGGAGCATTCTGGTCTGGGGATTTTTCTTAAGGAATTTTTGGCAGAGGGGTTCAACACGGGAAACGGCCTAGGCTTCCCAAAGTAGGGAAGTCAGCCTAGACCGCGGACACATTCTCTCCGCAAATCACCCCCTTCCCGCCGGATCCCCGGTGCCAGCCAGCCCCGCCCGCTCCACCTCGGGTTCCAAGATGCTTTCCCGGCTCCCGACACCCACTTTCCAGCCAGCGCTGCGCCGCGCCCCGCGCCCCTCGCTGGTCACCCTCGGCCCGCGAGAGCGGCGGATGGAGGGCCCAGGCCTAGGGTGCTGCTTCTAGGTCCTGGCTGTAAGGGAGAGGGTAACTACTCAGTCTGTTCTCTGTGAAGTCCGGGGCTCTGGAGGTTGAAAGTGGGACTTAAAAACGGAGAAGTTGCACTTCTCCACCCACTTGCCCGGTCTTAGCCGTGGGGCCCGGTCCGGGAGGGCATGTTGCACACGAGGCACGTGTGAACTCAGTCATTGAACGGGGGACCCTGAAATCCAGGGTTAGAAGTTACGGGATGCACGTGAACAGTTATATTAACATCAACCATCATGTATGTGTAGAGTTTGAGCTTTCACACACAGCCCTGTGAAGTCAGTCTTATCATCCTCTTCCTTCTAGGATTGGGAGAGGAGGCCTGAGTCACGCACGGAGTAACCCACCACTGAAGACAGGTCCTGACTGCAGACCCCTCGGTCCTCTCCCAGTGCCACCTCCTTTCAGGGTTGCCTCTGCGGAGCCCTGCACGGGGTGGAGGGGGGCCGCTCAGTAAATATTTGTGGATGGGATTCCAGGATCTCGTCAAGCCTTATGACTGCCCTGTTTTATACAGTAGGATGTGTCTAAGCCGTATCTTCGCACTCATTTATTCATTCACTTATTCTGCATTTCCTGAGTGCCTCCTGTGTGCCCGCACTGAAGTGAGCGCCAGGGGAAGAGCCCTACTCACACGGAGCAGCGGGACGCGGAGCTGTCCTCTGAGCAGGGGGTTCGCGTCCGCGAGGGATGGCCCTGAGCTCCCAGCCCGCAGCCCTTGGAGTTGAGCGCAGGCCCAGAGCCCACAGCCCCGTCTACTCTGGGGTGTCAGGGGGAGGGAACTCGGGAGCTCCCAGGCCGTGCCAAAGCCTAGAGCACGCGGGAGGGGAGGGCCGGGATGACTCTGCTCGGAGGAGAGGAGAGAAAATACGAGAAGGGAATTCCGCGAGGGAAGGGCTAGAGGCGAGGGAGCGGGAAGCCAGGACACCGGAGACCAGGGTGGGATGGGGGTAGAGGTGTGAGAAGAGAGAAATCAGACCAGACGGCAGGGTGAATAAGGGAGAACTGAGGACGCCGACGTGCTCTCCGAGAGCCAGGGAGCCGCGGGCCGTCGAGGGGGCCCTTGGGTGGGCATCGCGGCGAACCCGACGCGGGATCCAGCGCTTGCCTGCCTCTCTGGCCGCCCAAGTTGGCTGGGGGCGAGGTTGTCGCTCCTTAGGTCATTTTAGAAAAGCAGTAGGTGTGTTCTGTCACAGGCCGGGATTCACGGTCAAAGTCACTCGTGCCCGGCCACCCCCAGCGAAACCTGTTTGGCTTCTATTCTCCGCAGGATTCCACACTCGGGAGAAGCTGGCGGAGCCTGGCCCAGGGAGGCCGCGGCCAGTCGGGACAGGGGGCTGGAGTCCGGCTCCCGCACCCGGACCCGGTGACTGCGGGCGGCGCCCGCCTCCCGGCCAGCGGCACCTGAGAGGGGAGCGGGCGGGCAGAGCGGCGGTCCCGGGGCGGCGGGGCGCGGATCCCCCGGAGGGACCTGGGAGGCGGAGGGGCGGGCCGGGGGCGGGCGCGGGGGAAGTGGCCTCCCTGCAGGTCGGAGCCGGGACGCGCCGGCCCGGGACGCAGGGAGGGGGCCCGCGTCGAGAAGGAGGGAGTGGCCGCGCCGCCTTCGAGAGTCATTGGAGGACGCGGCCGCCCGAAGCTGATAAATAAGGGGCCGGGCCGCGGCTGCCGGCCAAGCTGGACGCCCCGACCGGTGCGAGGGCCAGGTCAGCGCCGGCCCGTCGACGCGAAGCGAGGCGACCCCCGCGCGGCCATGGCGTCGCTGCTGGGAGCTTACCCGTGGCCCGAGGGGCTCGAGTGCCCGGCCCTGGAAGCCGAGCTGTCGGACGGGCTGTCGCCGCCGGCCGCCCCCCGCCCGCCAGGGGACAAGGGCTCGGAGAGCCGTATCCGGCGGCCCATGAACGCCTTCATGGTGTGGGCCAAGGACGAGAGGAAACGTCTGGCGGTGCAGAACCCGGACCTGCACAACGCGGAGCTCAGCAAGATGCTGGGTGAGTGAGCGGGCGGGGCGCGGCCCGAGGTCGGCGGGCGGGGGGCTGGCGGCTGGAGGCCGGGCGGGGTGGGCCAGACCCGGCATGGGGCGCGCGCCGTGCCCGCGAGGTTGGGCATCGGGGCGAGCGTGGGTGTGCGCTCGGGGACGGGGATTCCGAGCAGGGGTGCCCGGACAAGGCCCAAAGACAACCCGCGCGGCCCTCGGGGTGGCCGGAGAGGCCCCCTCGCGGGGACGGGAGCCGAGTTAGGGGCCCCGCGCGCACAGACCGGCCGGGTCGGAAACGCCGCGGCTGGGTGCACCGGGCGTTCGCCAGGCATACCAGAGCGGGAGACCCCCTCATTCCCTGAACTCCACCGCGGGCACAATCGCAGAGGGTGGTCGTAACTCTCATTAACGAATATTCGTGAAGAGAGACCTTGCGGGAACGCATTCCTGCGTTACCCTAATTATTAAACCGACAGCAACGTGGACTTGATTCGAGCCTCTGTTTCTCAGTCTCAGGAGTGTAGAAAATCTGATTCGGATGCTTAGCGCGGCCAGTGCGGGTCTGTCCTGGAGCCCGGCCGCTTCTCGCGGGCTGCTGTGCGGTCCCAGCCCCGGCGACGGGACTGGGGACAGGGACAAGCCAGGCCCAGGAGCCTAGAGAAAAGATGTTCTCGGGGGTTTCTTCTCTCTCCCTTGACAGAAGCTGAGCATTTATCAACTCCGCCCAACTCCTAACCTCTTTGCCCTTCAACGTGGTTTTTATTCATTTCGAAGGATGGGAACTTTTAAAAGCACTTTGTGTGCCCAGCGGGCGCCAGGCCCTGTGAGAAGGGACAGTGTGTGGTCACCCGAGGCTGGCCCTGCCCTCTGCAACCCCACCCAGCCCAGGCTGCAGCCTTTTTCCTTTTTGCGTGGGAGCTCGGGGCACCTTCCCCAGATCCGTGGAGTGAGGGCTGGCATCCACCTTTGTGCGGGCTAAAGCCACAGGCCCTCCGGCGGAAAGCGTCCTCCTGCAGTTAGGCGCCCTTTCAAAGCAGTTGATGGAGTGCTGGTCTCAAATAGCCTCCTACCCCCCGGCCCAGCCCCCTGGCTAGCTGTGCCCAGGATGAATTAGTGGGCCGGTGTCTTAGTGAGCCCCTTCCCCCATAAAAAATATTTTAAATCATACTTTATACTGTGTTGGCATAAAGAAAAATATATTAATATATACAATAATAAAACATTTCTTCAAGCAAAAAATTTACATTTTTCTTCAGGTTTCCAAAGAAATGAAAACACCTTTTTTGTTTCTGGGCCCCTAAAAGTTTTTCTTTTGGTGTGCCCAGGTGCCATGCCTTTTGCCCAAGCACAGCTCTTGTGACCAGGATAGAGCAGGCCCAGGCCAGGGATGGGAGAACTCAAGCTGGGGAGCCTTGCAGGATTAGGGCTGCCTGCTCTCAGGGAGAGGACAGGCAAAGGGACTTGGGTGACAAACGCTTCCTGTGAGCTGATCCTTGTGGGCAGTTGGCACTTAGGCTTCCAGAGGTTACAGTGCACTGTGCAGGAAAGACACTGATTCCTTCCTGCTTAACCACACAGCCCCTGGCACTAGGCAAAGGAAACCAACATGGTGTTGCTTTGAAAAATGTGGACTTTCTACACCTGCTACTAGGGGAGCAGCAGGATGATCTATTTCCACCCCAAGCCCATGATCTCGCCCAGCCCTTTCCTTTCTGACTTAGGAAAGGGAAGGGGCTGAATGTGAGAGCCCAGACTTTTTTGACGATTAGCTCTGCAACCTTTAGCATTAAAAACTTCACCCAGTAGCGCTGGTATTTTTTTATGTTATGAGTGAGAAAGCATGTAAAGACAGTTATACATTTAGTGGTTTTAAAAATGAACCTATATTTTACGAATACTACAATATCCAGGTGCACTTAGAAACTCGAGTCACATTTTATATTCAGTCTATACTCAGGGTGTGGGTGTATCTGGGTCTTAGGCCTCTTGCCACACTCTGGAAACTAATAGCCAACCCCAAATCTGGAGTTCCTGACACGTTTCAAGTTGCCTTTATAAGTGAGAGCTAACTGTAGTAATTGACAAGTCTGTCGGATAGTTATAAACTTTCATCCCAACAGGAGAACGCCTTGAATAATTACCCTCCTCCAGCCCCCTCTGTGGACCCGGCACACATGGCCAGCCAGTACACAGCTCTGGACTCGGCGCTGTGCAGAGTGCTCTGGGTGGGAGATGTGGCCCCTTTCCTTCCAGGGTTTGGTGGCGGGACCTGCCCTCTGGGCTAGCTTGTCTCAGACTTCAGGATACAGTAGAGTGATGGGAGAACTTGTCAAGTTATAGAATCCCAAGCCCACCCTAGGAGGTAACAATCTAAGGGGTCCAGAAGCAGCCTTTAGAAAACCTGCAGCGGGAGGGATGGGCAATGTACTCTGAGAGAGAAAGAGATACTAAAGCGGTTCACAAAACAAAACGTAAATGAATAAGGATGAATAGAAAATACATGTGAAACCAGCATTTTCGCACCAGTGGGATACACGTGTGCGACGCTTCTTCAGGAGAGAGTTTTGACTTGCGTAACATCGCGATATATTTTTTATAGTGAGGAAAACAGACCAGGGGAAGGTTAAGGGATTTGCTTCTGTACAGGGAGTCAGTGGCTGAGCAGGTGCCCCCTGCCATGGTCAGAGGGTCCTAAGTAGACAACCGGAAGCCATAGCTTGTGTGCGTGTGCGTGCGTGTTGCGTGCAGTAGGGTCCTATTTGACCTTCAGATGGAAGGGCTAATCCTCTGATGCCCTAAGTGAGATCCTGTAATTTACGTCCATCTGTAAAACTATTAACTGAGCCTGAGCTCCCTGACAAGAAGGCCTGTGAGATTTATGCCACAAATAAATATTACAGCATCACTTCCTTGATGGGGCAGCGATAATAGAGGAAGACAGAGTTTTCACTAAAATGCACAAATGATTAGCACTGACCCTCAAAGGGTAAAGGCAGCCCAAATCAATGTTGTAGTCGTGACATGTTTTTGTCCTGTCGGTGACGTTGGGTCAGGTGGGCCTTTCACCGAGAATCCCACACTGTTGATATGTTCGCGTTATCTGGTGGCTTTGACAGGAGAGGTGCCAGTGACTATGTGCCTAGTTGGTACGAGCGCCTTGGGGCGTGCAAGCGGGAGAGGTTGGTTTGGCCTCACTGTGCGTGCAGGACGTGGGCTGGGGAGAGGATGCGAGGAGTGCGGTGCGTCCTGTGCGGAGGGGGGACCGCGGGGGGCGGACGGGGGACCGGGGCGGCCGGCGTGTGCACGTGCGATGCTCCGAGGCCCGAGTCGGAGACAGGTGCACGGGCCGTCCGGAGCCGCGCAGAGGCTGAGCGCGGTCTTCTCTGACTTGTGTGAGCAGGAAAGTCGTGGAAGGCGCTGACACTGTCCCAGAAGAGGCCCTACGTGGATGAGGCGGAGCGACTGCGCCTGCAGCACATGCAGGACTATCCCAACTACAAGTACCGGCCGCGCAGGAAGAAGCAGGCCAAGCGCCTGTGCAAGCGCGTGGACCCCGGCTTCCTGCTCAGCTCGCTCTCCCGCGACCAGAACGCCCTGCCCGAGAAGCGGGGCGGCGGCCGGGGGGCGCCGGGGGAGAAGGAGGACAGGGGTGAGTACTCCCCGGGCTCCGCGCTGCCCGGCCTGCGGGGCTGCTTCCACGAGGGCCCGGCCGGCGGCGGCGGCGGCGGCGGCGGCACCCCGGGCAGCGTGGACGCCTATCCCTACGGGCTGCCCACCCCGCCGGAGATGTCGCCCCTGGACGTGCTAGAGCCGGAGCAGAGCTTCTTCTCCTCCCCCTGCCAGGAGGAGCATGCGCATTCCCGCCGCATCCCCCATCTGCCCGGGCCCCCCTACTCTCCGGAGTACGCCCCCAGCCCTCTCCACTGCGGCCATCCCCTGGGCTCCCTGGCCCTCGGCCAGTCCTCGGGCGTCTCTATGATGTCCACCGTGCCCGGCTGCCCCCCGTCTCCTGCCTATTACTCCCCAGCCGCCTACCCTCCTCTCCACTCCAACCTCCACGCCCACCTGGGCCAGCTCTCCCCGCCTCCCGAGCACCCCGGCTTCGACGCCCTGGATCAGCTGAGCCAGGTGGAACTCCTGGGGGACATGGATCGCAATGAGTTCGACCAGTACTTGAACACTCCTGGCCACCCAGACTCTGCCGCCGGGGCCGGGGCCCTCAGCGGGCAGGGCCCCGTCTCGCAGGTGACACCGACGGGCCCCACGGAGACCAGCCTCATCTCCGTGCTGGCTGATGCCACGGCCACGTATTACAACAGCTACAGCGTGTCATAGAGCCCGGGGCAGCCCGGCCGGCCCGGCCGGGTCGCAGCCTCTCCTTCCCGCGCGGAGCGGAGCTGATGCGCAGCGCCCCGGGGTGGGCAGGTCTGTGCTGCGGACCGGCTCTGCGGATCCAGGGCCCCTCCGCCCGCCCCCTTCCCCGCCCGCCCGCCCGCCCGCCCCGCCCCGCCCCGCCCCGCCCCCTGCAGCCTGCGTTTTGAGTATATTCCTTCAAATGAGTTTTCATTGGCCACACCCTGGGAATCAGGCCCGGTCGTGGCTGAAAGACACTGTTTCCCGCGAGAATTTTCACTGACCTCTCCTCCCATTTCTCATCCCGGAAACAAATTCGGGAAAAGCCCGGAAGCATTCGCATCTCTCCTGCTTCTGACACAGCTGCAGGGGTACAGCCGTCCTGACCCTTGGTCGTCCAGGTGAGGAGAGCCCTGGGCTAAGATTCAGGGGACCCGGGATCCAATCCCAATTCTGCCTCAGGGGGCTGGTGAAACCCGACTCCCCTCCCCTCCCCGCCCATCCCCCCCATCTGTAGACTGAGGGACAGACGCCGCATCTAAGGTCCCCTCTGCTCCAGGGTTTTCTGATTTAGGATTCTCTCGAGGCTAACACAGGAAGATGAAGTTGGCCTCAGTGAGCTCATTCACCTGCAACCTGGTGACGATTCCATGCACAGCCCAAGGACACCAGGCTGCTGCACTTGGTCACAATCTTCCAATATGATCATAGACTTCCAAAAGGACGCTTTGAGAAAGGACACTCACCTTGATTTGGGAAATTAACCCCTGGCGTTAACTGCATCACTGAAAATGAGATTGAATTCAAGATTTAAAAACAAACAAACATATTTTTTAGACAAGTTTTTTTATTACACACACATTTCAAGAGAATATACACAGCCTGAATACATACAGTGTGTGTGAGACACACACAACACACACATCTCCATGCACAGCCTGAATCAGATACTCTTTGCTGCCCTTGCCAGCTTCTCGTCAGCCCTCTGTTCCTAACAACCCAAAGAGCAGGGAACTGGAAAAGAATTTCAGCACAGTAGCATCACTTTCTTCCAATCTGAATGTGTTGATTTCTTGAGCAAAATTTCATCACGGTCTCCCTTCTGCAGATGCAAAAGGATCTTCCTTCCTGCTGTCTCCATCTCCCTTTCCTGGAATTTCTTTTCTCTCTTCTTTTCAGCTCGTTCTCCACCCCGGAATTGGCCACTAATTCAAAGATCCCTTGACTTAAAATTGCAGGCATGATTCCTATGGCAGAAATGGGAATTTGTTCTCCTCCCCAGCCAGCTGGTTCTTTGGGTAACATCTTCAGCCCACACATCAAAGGAACTTCCCTTTATTATACTTACTTCCCAAAGAACAGAAGTGCACTGTGATTCAGAAAATATTTCTGAGCCCTGACCCCATCCCCAAAACACTTCCATCCTTCCCCAAGCCTCCTTTGAAGGAACATACCTATCAGTGTGCTAAAAGACAGTTGTTTGTCTTTTGATTTCACCATATTATTGCCTGTATGAAATATGTACATGTTTTATATATTCTCCTATTAGTTTCACCTTATATTTCATATTGTTGAAAGATCCTTTTTCTTTTTTCCTTCCAAGGAGTCCTCTTGTAAAATCTCTTATGTGATTAATCTTTATGCTATTACTGTATATGACATTTGGTAATAAATAGTAAATCATGGACAATATGGTGCAGTCCAGAATGTATGTTAATAATCTTATAAAACATTATCACAGACATTAAGCTAAACTGTTCCATTTTCTGTAAGAACCACACATGCTTTGGAATGGTTGTAGATATTGATTTGTCTAAAATATTTAATTTAAATAAACGTTTTTGTACCGTGACCATTCTATCATTCGAAATACAGTTTTGCAAAAAGAAAAAGTTTTCAAGGGAGGCGTAGGTATTACGCGCAGTGCTCCTTCCAGCATTGGTCAAAGTGTTTTCTCCCTCAACTTTTTTTATTTTAAAAAGTTATCTTGTAGGAGTGGCTGGTTTTCTTTTATGAGTTATGGTAAAGAGATAAAGCCTAATTTTACACCTTAGAAACACTGTTGTTGTCATTGATATCGAAAGAAAAGATGGATTCATAGCCTACTTGCAAAACAGTTTTCTCCTCGGGAGCGATGACTTCACACTTGTAAAGTGGAATGAGGTGGCTGTCAGCTGTCTCAGGATGGGAAGTAGTGCCCAGTTATTTGCTTCCTTAAGGCTACCACATTTTCCCCTTCTTTTTGAAATCATCTTTTGAAGAATATTTGGATTGCCTTCTTTACTAGGCATTTATAGATGTGGTATTACAAAAATCGTGTGCTCTCAAAGCTCCGTGGAGTGTTGTGGAGAAGACAGGGGAGCACAAGGTTGGGTAATTTAATTAAAGGATATAGCATCTTGTGAGGTTTAGGATGAAAATCCCAGCCAAAAAGTGCCTGGAAAAAAACGGATGATCCCTCAGTCCCCAGGCAGGTCACCGCGTCTGGCTCTTCTCTGCAGGGAAGCCGTTGTAACTTGTTTATGTCAGTAGTAGCCTTGTGTTCTTCCAGGGCCTCTGGGCCAAGGAGTAGGTCTTGGGAGGGTCCGCACAGGCAGACGTTCATCCTGCAAATTTGATCGTAATCTCTCGTCATTACTTTCATAGCACTTTATAGATGTAGGGAGTTTTACAGCAAGCTTCATGGTCTGTTTCTCATCCCCAGCCCCAGGTGGGGCCCGTCATCACTCCACCCCATCGCACAGTCAGGAACACTGAGGCCCAGGGTGGGAGGTAACACCCTGGAGTCACCCTACCAGCGGAGGCTGAGGTTTCAGCACTTTGTCAGATGCATCTGCTGGCGGTGGAACAGTCTCCCAGCTGAGTCTCCCAGTTCCTTTTATAGAGCTTCACCAGGCAGGGGATTACACGCGGCCCATTCGTACCTCTCACAGCCCAGGGAAAGAGGATGGACCAAGAGGAAATGGCAGGGCCGGTGTTAGATGACCCCCGAATTCCTAGCTGCTCAGGCCCACCACCATGGCCGCTGACAGTGGCCGTCTGCGGGGTCGTCAGCTGGCGGGAGGGCTTGTCATGCAGCGCCTGCTGGCCTTGTCTGTGTGTCAGTGTCCGGCCCTGGACGCTGCCAGATGGGCGTGTTTCATTCCAGGCCACACTGTGCGGGGTGGAGGCGTTGTCCCTGCCTCTGGGAGGGCAGGAAACTGGCAGGCGACAGGGTGCTCTCTCACTTTTGCTCAGCTATGAGTGAAACAGTCATGCCCGGAAGCAGGGTGTATTTCAGAGTTTTAGCTGCCCATCCCGGAGACCCAACTCCCACCCCCCACCACCCCCCCACCCCCCCACACCCCCGCCCCGTGACAAAAGCACTTTTGGCTTTGGCTGATGGGAATTGATGGGTGTGCACAGTTATGAGTTGTTTTCCTAAAACATAGATGTTACCACGTCACGCTTTTCCGTAAGACCCTTCAGTGCCTGTGCGTCGCCTACGGCACACAGGGTGAGTGCAGTGGCGGGTCCACAGGGAGCCAGCGAGGTTCCTGGGTGCGGGGAGGGTACTGTGTTCACATGGCCAGCCCTCCGCCCCTCCCCCACAGTGTACCTACTGCACGGAAGGCCTATTGTTCTCTGAAAATGCTCTTTTCCCATGCTTCCATGCTTTTCCCAGCGCTATTCCCCGACCAGGGAGACCCTCACTCCCATCACCTGTCTGATGACACCCCACCCACATTCCAGATCCAGATCAGACGTCCCTACCTGTGCAGGCAGAGGGGCGGGTCACTCTCCTCCCTGAGCTCCCGCAGGACTTGAGCACATCTGGCACTTACAGCCGGCGTTGGTGTCATCCACCCACGTGCATCTTCCCCAGCAGGGCAGACACGTAGTAGCTGCTCAACAAATAAGCGAATGAATAAATGAATAAGGTAAACATCTGAGAGGTCCTGTAGGTATTCCAGTTAGTCCTGGTGCTAAAGACCCGAAATATTCTGGGTTCCTAATCTTCTCACTCATCCCTCTGGAAACCCAGACTCTGGAGCCCTTGTGTGTGCAGGGCTCTGAGGCTGGATGCGATGCAGCCATGGCTGTTCACCCTCCCCTGCTACAGTATAGCTTGCAGTAAACAGGTTAGGGGGTGGGCACAGGGGACCAGAGCATCTCTCCCGTCCCATCCTAGGGCAGCAGAATAGAGCTGAGGATGGATGATTGGCAGCTTTTGTAACTGCCTACCTTTCCTTTCGAAAAAGGTGTGCTGTTGATTTCATCCCAAGTGAAAGGAATTTGGAAGGAAGGAAGGAAGAAAGAAAGGAGGGCAGGAAGGGAGAGAAGGAAAGAGACATTATCTATGTATCTATCCATCCATCCATCTATCCATCCATCCATTCACGCATCCACCCACTTCACCTACCCATCTCTCTATCATCTTTCCATCCATCTGCCCACCCACTTATCCATCTATCTGTCACTTATCTATCTATATCATCTATTGATATTTTAATTCTCAAAAGAGACACAGTCTTTGTAGAAAGTTTAGGGGAAAAAAATCATAGAGAAAAAAATAAATCATCTATTGTCAGCAACCTAGAGACATTACTGATAATGTTTTTACACATATCCACCAAGTCTTTTTTGTTTGTCTGTCTATAGCTCTACATATACACATGTCTCTTATAATAGACATTTTTATTCATTAATAGTAAATAAATGTTTTCCTATGTTCTTAAACTTTTTCTGCAAAAGGTGTTTTCTTTGCGGTTGAAAAATCAATAAGAAAAAGTTTCAGAAAAAGAGAAAAATTACCTACTCCATGACCTTGACATAACTATTTTCTTTTTCTAAAATTAAGAAGAATTTTTTTTTTGGCTGTGCTGTGTGGCTTGCAGGATCTTAGTTCCCCAACAAGGGATCAAACCCATGTCCTTGGCAGTTAAATGGCGGAGTCCTAACCACTGGACCACCAGGTAATTCCCAACATAACTATTTTCAACATACTCATTTTTGTATACTGAACTCCCCAGTCCTGTATTCATGTGTTCAAGATACAGATACCATTGGTTTTGGGCTTTATCCTTTCATCATCCTGTTATAGAAGTTTTGCCACATTGATATCTGTCTTCATATTTATGATTTTTGATGATAGCACAGTACTTCAGTGCATGAATGTGATTTAATTTACTTGACCATCCCCTTGATATTAGATAACTAAGTTGTTGCATTTTCATTTTTGCCATTATAAATAGCACTGCAGTGAACATTTGCTTGTTTCTGTCCTTGGCTAGATTCCCAGTGGGGTATCACAGGTCTAAGCTATGAACATGTTTCCAGCTTTTGATCAGACTGCTTGTTTGTTGGCCCTCCCAGCGCATCTCAGCTGGCTGTTGAGGCACAAGATGGCTCCATGCGATTCCCAGAATGAACTCTTTCCTACCAGGAAGAAGGAAAACTCCTGAAGACTGTTTATCACTAACTCCAATCTGAGTATGCTCCGTGGGCTTCCCCTGTCATGGTGGCTTGTCTTCCTGGGGACCAGCTATGTGCTTGCTGCTGGCTTCATTGGCACATTGGAGATGTTCCTTTCCTCAAGTGCCATGGTAGATGGCACACCCTCCCATCTACATCAGCTTACTATGTGGGGGAAAGGCTTCCTCTGTCAGTCAGCACGGGAACTGGGTTGGTGCCCAGAGTCCCCTGGAGCGCAGAGCAGCTGGCTGCATTCACAGGGCGCTCGGAGAGCCAGGTAGTGGGAGAGCATCTGGAAAGAGCTGGAACTCAGGGCAGGGGTGTGACCTCACCCCATCACTGGACTTTGATTGGACTGGCGGTAAATCTCTGGACCTGTTCTCTCATCCAGGACAGGTAGTTTGTGAATCTGTGGGCACTTGAGAAATTGTAAGGCTTTATACACATGTACAGAACAGCTATTGCCTATTTCAGATCTCTTTAGACAATTTAGATTTCTTTTAGACCTGGAGGCTGGTACTAGTTTTAAAAACCCAGAGTCACGTGTTCAGCAGTTACCACGCTGCGACTGACTGTGCAGCAGAAATGAGGGAACGGACCTCCTGAGAGGGGCTTGTAGAGGATCCATCCGTTGCCTTGTTTGACACTGAGCTGGGGTTGACAGAGACCGTTTGGGTCATTGAGTCCACTCCCCTGTCTCTATTGAGGGCTGCGTCTTAGCCATTCTCGGCAGACGGGTTTCTATTTGATTGGGGTCCTCTAGAGAAATGGGTTTTCTCTCTGTAAGTTCGTCTAACAAGTTCCATCATCCGAAAGTTCTTTCTTGTACCTCACCTAAATCCCTCCTGCTCAGTCTAAATCCACATCCACTTGATGTCATATGAGGAGATTTACAGGATTTGTCCCCAGATGGTCCTCCCCCTGTAGGCTAGTGGTCACACTCCTTTCCTCCTTGTTATGGGACCATGTTGAGGCCCCGCTGTGGGTTGAGTTTTCCTCCAGATCAGGGCTGTTTTCCCCTGAGCCGGAGGCTGAAGGTTGTAGGGACGTGGGAGGGGGAGGGATGAGGAAGGTTCCATTATACAAACCGTGATTGAGGAAAGTGGGTGATTGCCCGGGACTGGGAGAGGGGTCTCTGTGGGCACTTCTGGAATGTTCCGCATGTAGGCCTGGGGTGCAGTCGTCTCTCAGAGGGCCACACCTGGGCCAAATGGCGGGTCCCCTAGCTCTACTCACTGCCCTTTCACCGGTCACTCACCTTCCTTCCATCCGAGGGGCAGGGGGAGGCACAGGTCTGGGACAAGTGGGGGGACCTTAAAACAAGAAAAATATTCCACTGGATTCTGGGAAAAAAATCAGTGGATTCTGATGACTGAAATGTCTTTGCAGCCTCCAGGG